AAATTATACCATAGGCTAAAACATGTATTAAAATCAGATAATAGGCCAATTGTAATAGTTTAAACGACCGTGCTAGAATCACGGAATCCGGGGATGCCTAACACCTTCCCCCGGATTAACAGAATTCTTTATTCAGAATTTCTGNCGTGGTTCAAAGACGTGTTTTAGGTAACGTTGAATCTTCCTAAAATTAATTAAAAGCGGTTAATAATTTAAAATTATACCATAGGCTAAAACATGTATTAAAATCAGATAATAGGCCAATTGTAATAGTTTAAACGACCGTGCTAGAATCACGGAATCCGGGGATGCCTAACACCTTCCCCCGGATTAACAGAATTCTTTATTCAGAATTTCTGGTTCGCAGACTTCAAAAGGAAAGTCGAATCTTCCTCGATTTGGGATTTAAAATAAGCCGGTGACTTAAGACACCAATAAAAATATTCGAAGTGGCGACTCTGAATAAAAAATGAATAAATAATCCCATATCGAATAATGCCACTTAAATTGGAAAAACTCCTTTATATACCCTCTCAGGGTGTATAAAAAGGAGGTGTGACAATGTAGATTTAGAGGACTCATGCAAAGATTACAAATGTAATTAGCTGCTCACTTTGATTCTGGAGGCCTAAGATTAGGTGCTCTTTAGTTTATAAATTGTTCTTTGGTTATCAATGGTAATGTTTACAGTGTTACCAAAAAACATTTTTGGTGCATCTAAATTTGATATTATAAAAATTCAATTTCCCCCACTTTTCCACCTGCAACTTCCTGTATGATCTTATTTTGCAAAATCAAGTGTAGGGTTCAAATTTTGTAAGGCAAGTTTGACTAAAACTTTAAGCTTGAGCCATCCATTTGTTGGCTCAACATGGAATTTGCTCCTTTTTTTAATAAGTTTTTATGACTTTTTTCATCAACTTTAGAAGAAGACAACTATTTTCACTTAATGGGTTCATATTTCATGTACATAGAGGCCTTTCATATTAACTGCACAAGTTACACTCTCCGGTAGCTGCTATTTACTTGTGAACACAATCAAAAAAATTTGAAAGCGATGTACCATGGCTCAAACGAAGAGGATAAGTTAAATCTTGAAATTATTGGTCCGCTTGTTCTTCTAAGTTTTTTATGTTATTTGTGTGATTGATGACTTTTCATTATCTCTACCGTATAGCAATATTGTTCCGTGATATCTAATAGCTTGTTTGGATTGTTGTTACATGTTGTTTTTAAATATATCGTATCGTATCGTATCGTATCGTATTGTATTGTATTGTTCGTTGAATATAATATTTGGATAGATTGTATCGTTTGCCGTCATTTTATGATGTCACGCACTAACAATATGGAGAATAAACTTGCATCATTACTAAGAAAAAATAAGATATGGAGTAGAATTATTATATAAAAGAAGTAGGATAAAGAACAAAATATGATTATTTAATAATAAAGAAGGGCGAGATGAGAGAAAAAACAAGGAAACGACGCCATCACACCAAATCTGTCGTTTCATAAAGTGATACTTTTTGTCGTTACATAACGATGGATTTAATGATACGATACTGTTTAACCAAAAATATATCTTTCGATCAAAGATTAATTTTAGAAGAAAACGGGCTTCTGATAACCAAGTTTTGCCTCACTTTCCCAATAGTATCAAAGGAAAATAACAAGAATAAATAAGGAAATAATTGATTGCAAAGTCAATATAGTAAATTTTGAGAAAAGCAGAAAAGTAAAGTGAATATATTCCAATATTGTCTCAGATGTCCTTACAAGTGAAATTATTTCCTCTTGTATATAGGTTTACACATTTAATGGTTCCTTCCATTTATGGCTAAATCATTATGAGCTTTAATTGTATTAATGATCCGTTATAATTGGTAATCGTAACTGTTCACTAGGATTCTGTTACGATTCTGATTCCCCCTCCTCATTAAGGTTCATGGATCTTCCTTTCTTACTGTCTTGATTCATTCTTTGCCAGTTGTTAGTCCCGGTACTATCTCATGGGTGTTTTCCTCCCGTGCCTTTTCTTATTCTATCAAACACGACTTCCACGTATTGTGCCATGTCAGTAGTCTTATATTCCACATGTAGCACTTTATCACCACCAAATACAGATAGTCCCCCCACTTTCTTGAATATTCTCTACTAAATATTCGGGAAAGTGGAAGGTTTTTATGACGGGAATTCTCTGCCGCCTTTTTCGAATATAATCATATCCTTTTCTGAATCGATGTGACATTAATCACTTTTATTTGACGACCATGTCACGTAGCTGTTAACAATTGGTCCTTCAGTTCTTCAGCGCCTTTTAGGGTTTTCCTGCAACCGCATCAGTCACGAAGTGACAATTCCATTATGACGCTTCATAATGACCTCAATAGTCGTGTCTTCCTATAAATACTTAACTCATTTTTTCCGATTTTCTAAAGCCTTTCCTTCTTCGTATTCTTGCCTTACTTCATTCTGCATCTTTTTCCTGTGTTTCTCTAGTTAATCATGGCTTCATCAAATCCCGGTCCTCACAAAGTAGTAATTGTTGATGAACTTCCCCCTACAACTGTGCTTGTTAGGAGTAGAAGAGGTGGTAGATTACGTAGCCTCGGTTCTATTTCTGACTGTGGTTCCTCCTCTCAAGGTAGTGCTACCAAACCATCTTCTTCTAGAGCTAGGGCTTTTGCAACCCCAAGTTCTTCTTCTAAAGATAAAGATTTAACCGAAGCCCTTCGTGAACCCATTGTTGATGAAATTGTCCCTGAATAGCTATCCTTTGTGATTGATTGTGAATCCATGAAGAGTGAAGTCTCTTCCATGGCTGCTTCCCTTGATCGTGATGATCGTTACCCAACTCTGATTACCACTGGCCTTCTTGCTCTGGTTCGAAGAGAATGTAATTGGAAACCCGACTTCCCAGTTTTAATTCCTGGTTCTAACTAAAGAATAACTTCATACCAAGCTGACTATTCCTTCGTTTATACATATCCCTTTACCTTAAGATTTAAACCTCCTATTGACCTGGTAATCATTGAGTTATGTCGTTACTTCAGTGTTTGTTTGGGACAAATTGGTCCTATTGTTTGGAGAGTTGTTGCATGTCTCCATTATTTATCAAACTTGACTTCTATGCCTTTTACTTTTCGTCACTTACTCCATCTCTACTCTCCCAAACTATTTCGTGATGGAGTTTTTTTCCTTGTGGCCAAAAGTAAGAGATTATTAGTTAGCCCTGAAGATGATAGAGATCGAGGCTGGTATACTTGCTTCGTTGCTGCTCCTACTAGCGGTTTGGTGGGTGAAGAAAATATGTCTTTTCCAGAAAAGTGGAATTTTGCACGTAAGTATTTGTATCTCACCTTTTTCCTTTCTCAAAAATTGATTCTCATGTATTCTCGTACCTACTTTTTCAGCAACTATGGAAGTTTTTGAAGAGATCCTTGACTTTTGTGCTTGGGTAGAAAAATTAATATATGTTGCTCCTATGGAGAGAAGATCTTGGAAGTACCTTTCTCGGAGATTTGGGTGGAAAGTTAAAACACACGGTACTTTTTCCCGTTTAGTCTTTTTCTTTTTCTCTTTTACTTATTTAAGTGTTTTTCACCATGACTCTTTTTCTGTTGTCAGGATTTGTCATTCGTGGTGTTAGTCCTGCTTCTGTTTCATCTGCAAGACTTACGGTGAGTCTTGCTCAAGAAACGATTCCAAGGTCTTTTTCAAAGAGGAAGGTTGATGGAGCCTGTGGCTCAGAGGAAGAAGAAGAAGAACTAGAGGAAGGTTCTTTAGTTCGTGGACCTCGAGTTAGGAGGCGCGTTATTTCAGATGATGAAGCCATACTTTCTCCAAGTTCAATTCCTGTCAACGAGCCTGCAGATGCTACTTTAGTGAATTCTAATGAAGAGATGAATGCTCCTCCTCGTGAATCTACTGATAAGTTGTTTTCCCGTGGTTTTGATAGTGGTGATTTTGGTCCCATTTTTGAAGAGTTACCCTTTGCTTCTCTTCCAGTGTCAGTCCCCGTCTGTTCTCAATCTACCGTTCCTATTACTGCTGCTACAGCTCCTTCCGTGGCTGCTTTTACTTCCTCAACTATACCTATTTCTACTACTTCTCATGTTGAAGTTGGTACCTCTAATAGCAATAGAGTGATGAAAAAGGTTACCATAAAGTCCCTGAAGATGGTAATCTGTTGAAAAATTTTGGTCAAACCGACGTATGGTTAAAACCTTTAATTGGCCCAGTTGAGAAGTCTTAAGTTGGAAAGCCACGGCTCCTTGACATAGATGAATGATATTATTCATTCATCTTTGAAGCTTCAAGTTTTAGCTTTTTCCTTTCCTTTTCCTCGTGGTTATTTACTTTCGTTTGACAACCACTTTTTTTTGTAGATCAACTAAATAGGCACGGAACTTATGAAAAGAATTGTTCACACTGAGCAGCTAGTCAATGATTACCATACTGAAGCGATAACTGGAAGGAACAATATGAGGGTCTTCAATTGGAGAAAGAATTTTTGGCTGAAGAGAAGTGTGCTTTGGAACAACAAGTAAGGATGATGGTGGCGGAATTGGCAGTTGAAAAAGCCTCTTCAAGTCAAGTTGGCAGAGACAGACATCCTTGAGTCTTCATTTGCAAAGCAACTTTCTAAAACTACCAAGGAGATAAGGGGTTTGAAAGAACTCCTTAATCAGAAGGAGACTTATGTGGGGAAGTTAGTTCAAACACTTACTCAGGTTCAAGAAGACCTCCATAAGTTTCTGATAAAATCCAGTTGTTGGAGAGTTCCCTCGCCCCTCTGAAGATTTCTTATAATGCTTCTTTGATTGAGAAAGAAGAGTTGAAGGCTGAAATTGACTAGTGGGAGAAAGATTACGAAACCCTTGAAGATAAATCAACACCTGATATAAGTTGGACTTTTTTGAATACCAGTGTCACGCCCTAAAATCCGAGGAACACGACCAGCGCTCAACCGAGTAAACCCGACTGAGCAAGCATATTAGGTTTTATACTACCCAAATTCATCTTTGAATAAGGAGAAAATGTACACCATTAATCAAATTCTATAAACATGTCATTAACAATTCCATTTCATTTCCATTATCAACTTCGTTCACAATTTTGAAGATATTACAAGTTTTATACATCATTGCAAAACATCAATATTTCTACTTTAATTCCAATACCCGACACTACCCACAACCTGTCTACGGACCCTCTAAATACAACTGAAGAATAATATGGAAATGCTTGCAACAAGGCTCTAGCAATACCTCAAATAGAAAGGACATGATATACAGATAAAACAGGACCCCGAAACGAAGTGGGGCTAACCAAGTCAGCTGAAAGGATGATGCGGCACTAGCTGCGACCAACACTGCCTGCTATAGAAACACCTACATCCAATTAAAGACGCAGCGCACCTGGCAAAAGGGACGTTAGTGCCATCGAATAGCACTAGTATGTATAACTAAACACCATCCAATTAGAAAGAACAACCATACAAGAGTAAAAGAAATCATAAGGACAACAAAGCTTCAAATAAGTATCAAAACCAACAATATAAGAGGTTTACATAGTTTCACATAATTTTTGAAATTTTAAATTGGGGTATTCCATATCATTGCATCATCATCAACATTACCACCGCTTCTTTGAGCGGAGTCCGATCACGGCCCGATCGACTAAGCTGTCTTACCAAGACGTTACCCTTTTTTTATTCTCACTTTCCTGTTTTAATTATCAATACATTACCACCATGTGTGCATAACATGGCGTCCGATCACGGCCCGATCAGCTAAGCCATCTTACCAAGACGTTACCCTTTTTTCGTTAATCATCACATTTCAATATTTATTTCACATGTATCAATTCAGAGGCACTTAGGGCCATAATTATCAAATCATATTTGGCAATAGGCTACATTTCATAACTCACATTCTACATCACTTACACTTCCAACATCAAACTTGCAATTTAAGATAATGGGCATATACAAGAGCAATTCAAGTTGTAAGCATAGAGAGAGACATTTACATGAGTTGGCATAATAATCACAATTTAAACTTGACTTGAAATCTAGGCAATTTAGCATATAGTCCACATTCTTCACATATCATCAATTTATCAAGAATACCATATTGTACATATTGGGACATACTTTTCACATATATTCTTGCAACACTAATTCTTTTTAAATAACAAATACTACGTCAATCAAATTCCGGACTTACTATTTTACATGGACACCATGGGAGCTCAATTTCTAAGAAGAGGTGGTTTTAGCCACACATACCTTGTTTAAGAGTTCCTTAAGTTACTACGACATTCCGAAAATTCTAGCAATCCCAATCTACTTTATGACATGACAAAATTGAATACAAATTAGGAAGGTATTCATGGTTTCAGCTCATTCGAGCATTTTATCAAATACTAGTTGTACATCTTGATTTCAAATCTCTTTTACAAGATTTCATTCATTCCCCAACCCAACCTTTACTTATTTATGTTCAACAATCTTCCCACAAACTTAATTTGTACATGCATGTATACATAATACTATTACACCCAAGAATCATACCTCAATAACCCATCTCACAATCTCTACAACACCGACACAACCTAGGTTAGGCACCTATGGCTTCCAATCATCATCCCATGAGTTACAATACTTAATTCATACTCATATTCCCATAATATATCCATATATGTAAGTCTATAGGTGTAGGAATTACCTTTTGAAGGAAACCTTGCAAACCCTCATTTGAATTCTTGAAGGAATTTCTTGAAGATCTATGTGTTTTATGAGTAGATTTCATCAATACTAGTGTAGGAATGATAGAATTTCACACCAAGTTAATGGAGGTTGCTTACCTTGAAGATTGGAGGTGTTGGAGGTCTTGAGAGAGTGGAGGAAAACCCTAAAAGTCGTCCAAAAGATATGGGGAAAATAAATCCCGAAATTGTGTTTATAAGCCCAAATTTCGGATGCTGCCTCGTATGCTTCGCATCCCTACTTCACTCCTCTCATGAGCTCGGATGCTGACCCGGATGCTATGGCAGCACTTCACTGCCAGCTCCTCTTTTTGGATGTTGTCTCGGATGCTTCGCATTCGCGCAGTCCTCCGCTAGCCTTTGGTAATTTGGTCATAACTTCTTGTAGGAAATTCCAAATGACGAACGGTTTGAAGCGTTAGAGACTAGACTCAAAGCACTTTCATTTGACAGGCTGTGCATCATCTAAAACTTATATATCTGTAGATATTCTCGTTCAAAGTGTAGTCTTGTGCGTACTCATTTAAAATTTTAGTCTATCATGTAATTTTCCAATTTGGCTTAGACTTATACGCTTATTAACATATCCAATTGATATCCATTATATCACNTCTCCTTTGTAACTAGGCCTATCCACCTGCCAGAGAACCACCAAGACCATCCTAACAACTCATCTACATCTCGACAAAGCACCACAATGTATATATCAAAAATACTAATCTCACAATTACAAGCACTATATTATCATAATGATACCTGAACATGGACTGCACATTTTTAAATCACAACACCTATAAGGTACCTCTCAAATCAAAACCAATTGTTATACAATCGAGCGAAAATATTTTCTTTCCACGACACTTTAGGCCTTCAAGGTGGCCTCCTTGACTTACTAGCTTTACCATAACACATTTACGGAAACAATTCCAACCTCCAAACTTATCTAACAAGGATGACAGCTAGATACCTCGCATAAGCTAACTATCCATTAACTTCACCTTCAATAATTTCCACTGGAATGATACACAAAGGATCTCCAACTACCTTCTGAGACATAGACATGTGAATAGACAAAATATATGGCGAACAACTATGGGGAAACTTCATACTCCTAGTGCGGCCTAATGTGGAATACACTTATGCAACCTTCATTATCAACTCACAAAACATCTTCAGGGGAAAATGTTGAGAATAACCTGTTCACCCTCCAAAACTCTAAATCTCTAGGCGAACACTTCACACTAAATCCTTGATGACCTTCAACAGTTACTCTAAGATGTGCTATCATAAACTGACCATAAAATTACCTATCAAATATATGTGATCACACTGCGAAGCTTCCTCTTTGACTTGTTTGAACCTACAATACCCAATGGATCTAATACAATGAGGAACAACAGAGTTCAAGATCAGGCTGGAATTATTCAGGAATCCATTAATGTGCTGAGCAGAGTCTTTCATGAGGTTATATGCTAATAGACACGAAGATTACTACTAACAATACTGACATGGTTAATCATTGTGACGACATCAATTATTAGACAAATGAAGCGTATGGGTAACTAGTACATTGGCAATAAGAATCATTAAGGAGGAATATTCAAGTACGTGACCCAGTCGTCTCCTGGAGTGTAGGGAAACTCTGTTTATCAAGAATGAGAATACTATGGCACCTTGATTGCGATATGGGATTCAAAATACATGAAGTTGAATTGCACTCCTTTCATTGACTCACATAAGGAATCTATGCCACAAGCCCATGAGGATGGAAAGAAGTTGAATACTTATGAGATTATCATGTTTCAAACAGCTGAACCTTTCCTGATAATTGACCCTATATGAGAGAACTAAAGATATAACAATTGGTCTTCCAAATCAATATGCTCATGATATGTGCAAAAATCTAAAGGCATCTAACCTCAACTTTTTACGAGTGAAACCATATAGCTAGGAACTCATACCATAGGGGTGAAATCACGTATTGGTTAGAGGGGTTTTAATGGTTGACGTAACGCTCTAGGAGGAAAGACAATTAAAACTCCTATCCTCCTTAAGGAGGTGAAATGCCAGGGATAGCAAAATTTCCCGCACATGACAATGACGTTGTCAATAATCCTAGAAGCCAAGTGAGCAGAAGGCTATGTAACCCATCCAATCCAACCCATTTAAGACTTTTGAAAAGGGGATGCGCTTTTGCTTGAAATCATGGCAATATAAGTTTGAACTTAGGTGAAATCATTACTTTTGAAACCCATGAGATAAGCCCACGTAGCCCTAGAAAATCGTTAACAATGGCAAGAAAGTACTTAAAACCATTATGAGTTGGTATAGAGCAAGGCCTCAAAGTGCCTACATGGATAAGTTTGAAAGAATGAGACGTCTTAATGCATTTATTGGGGAAAGGTACCATAGGTTATCTAGTCACATGGACAAGAAGAGCAGGTAAATGGTTGTTAGAAGAACATCTACAAGGAATACCAGCAATATTCATTTATTCTAACAAAAGGAATATGTCCATATCCGCGATGCTATAAGACATCCTCTTTGATGCCATAAAACATAAAATGAGTTTTACAATGAGAGTTATCAGATGAAATAGATAGTAGGGCAACAAAACTAAAAAGCACCATTTGGAACCAACAAGCTTAAATTGAGTTGAAGATATTAGAAGTCTATAATAAAGGGGAATTTACCCACTTCCAGTGTCCTTTTTAGAAAAAGGGGCTTGTAGAGTACATAAAAGTGAGGTGAATTGGATCGAATCATATAATTGGATAGCTAGTCGAGAAAATGAGATAAGATCATATTGAAAAATATAGAGGAACAACACACGATACAAGGTAAATGAAAAGAAAGTAAGAGAGCCTATGGAAGTAACCTTTACATAGTAACCACTAGGAAGGGTGGTAATATAAGGGATTACGAGAAGCTAAATTTTTGAAAGAAGATCTTTGTATGTAGTCACGTGATGTATAGCTCCAGAATTCAAAAATCCAATTATGTTTGGCAACTCTATTCCACAATGAAGCACTGCAACACACTTCTATACAACCAGCTATTACCAGCCAAATTGGGAGACGCTATAAGACTTGACTGAGAGAAAAGCTTTGACATATGAATGTGTTACTAAGTGTATTTCTCCTTGGTCAACCCAAAACCAAGAGGCGAGAGTTAGCCTAATAAGCAAATTGTTGGACTAGCATATGTGTAGATAATCCATTATCGAAAGGAGATCATTCAATCTCAACAATTGCGGCATGCTATCAACCCTTGATGAACTTGAAGAAGGTGGGAACCCAACGAGATAGTATAAAATAATAATGGAAGGT